TCCCTTTAAAAGTGTTATTTATTTTTTTCTACTATGTATATACGGCTGCCACCAGGAAATTTAAGGCTTTCCAAACCTTTATACTTTTACTTCTGCTCTTGCTAGTTAGGTAGACCGAGTACAAGGCTTATGAGGAACTATGTGGTCATGAGGAAGTATTTCTTTCAGAGCTGGTATATTTGAATAAAAGAGGATTTATTGAAACAATTCATAAATAAAAGGGTGGAACAAGGTATCTAGTAATGTGTAATAAATGAACCATTGCTTGGTGTATCACACACAATATGCTCCCTTACTGACAGGGATCTTTCAGGTAACTTTGTAACACTTTAACTCAAGGTCATATATTTTCACTCTTTCTCTCCAGTTTATTAGGACATACAGCCTTTCTTATAACTTGTCTTCAATTAAACGTTCATTTACTTTTTCCTATTCTCTCAGCCTTCCTTCTGTTTCTCACTGAACTAACTTTTTCCATACAGGATTGCTTCTAACTTCCTTCATACCCAGAACTAACTGAACTCCACAACGGTCAACATGTAACTGTAACTCCTGACTGACATACCTACTCATCCACTCATTTTCACTTCCAAAACCCCTCCCCCTCTCTGTCAACCACCAATCATACCATGCTTGCTTCTCTCAACCACTCTAGTCTACTCACCACCGCCATGCAACCAAACTTTTAAAGACACACACACACACATAAAACAAGGAATCATTACACTCCAAGTGAAGGGCGGGGTATAAATCCAATCTCTTCTTCTTCTACACAAAATTTCTAATGCATTTCTTGGATTTCTCATGAGAATGGGCAAAAAGCAGGATTTCCACATGCTAGCAGGAGATGAAAAAGTTGACAGACTAAGAAACAGTGAGAAAAGACTGATGGCCTCAGTAGAAGGTCCTAAGAAAGAGTTAGGCTTATGTGGGGGTGACCCATGAGCATCCAGAGCAAGAAAAGACTGACAGGTTGCAAATTAGGAAAAATATGGAATCTCTGCTATCAAGTCTGATGCCTGTCTGATATTGCTTGGCTTATAAAGCAAATGAAAAAATTTCACAGTGCCATCTTATGCATATTTACCCCACTTTAAACCAATTGCTTTACTTGATTTTAAATAGGTTTTTTTCTGTGTAAGAGATGGCACAACTCAGATTAAAAGACATTATTTGAGAAAAAATGCTTAGAAAGCCCTCTGGCAGACTTTCCATACATTTCCTTAGGAATCTAAATAATAAAATAAATAAATAAATCTATGAGTCAGGATGACGAAGCCAAAGCAGCCACTGAAAAGCTTGTCTGCTAGGTCAGGGTGAAAATCATCAATATATCTCATTTGCATCAATATATCTCACGACTCCATCTGTGGATACTTAAATACAGATATTGGAGCCATGAACAGATATAACAGATCTTTCTACAAACTTGAAAAAAACCTCTGGGTTGCAGAAAAATCTGAGATCTGAATACACACACGGGAGTGGGAACTCTACAAAATGACAGAAACAGCACATCGCTATAAGGCACAAATGCCCTCAGTGGCCATTGTTTGGCAACTGCTGCAATATTGCCAACCTTCAAGCCTTGGTTTCTGTCATAAAAGGGGGGCAGAGCCCTTTCTAGGGCTGTGTTGGCTTTTGAGGGAAGACTCTTGTGGCCAGGCCTTGCAGCACGCACCAGATGACTTGTTACACCTGCCCTGCATGACTCACCCAGGATTGGTTGCTTGCTACTGTTCAACAGCAGATACTCCATGAAAACCAATTATGGTGTAGTGATTAGATATTTCATACCAGGATATGGAAGACCCAGGTTGAAATCTCCTCTCTGCCATGGGAGCTTGCTGGGTGACCAACTACAAACTCTGAACCTAACCTAGCTCACAGGGTTGTTGTGAAGATAAAATGAAGGACAGGAGAATGATGTAAGCAGCTTTGTGTTCCCATTGTGGAGAAATAAAGTAAATAAATAATAAATACAGTTGGGGGCAGATAAAAGGTAGATTGGTTATTGGGTGGAAAGGAGAGAAGGGAGCAGGGGCATTTGAGAATATGGGGACTGCCAAGAGGAAAGAAGAAACCGTGTGAAGAGAAGGGTATACGGGGGAAATTATGGTGTCCCCCACAAATCCTTGCAGGTTCCCCACTGTACTACTTGGCCAGCCCTGCTGGCATCACACAACTTAGTCAAAGCTTTCCCAGGGAACAGGCTGACAGGAGCAGGGAAGGAAGGAGAATTGAAGATGCAGGCAGATCAGGGTGAGCTGCCTGGTGGGTGGGAAGGAGATAAGGAAGAAGGATAAGGGGAGAGGCTATGAGCGCTTTCAGGAAAAGGAAAGAAGAAATAGTGGGGGAGGAGAAAATGAGATGCCCTTCACAAGGCCTTGTGGGTCCTTCACTTGATAAACACTGTTCCTCATTCTCCCCTCTTCCCCATCTAAATAAATCCCCAATGACCACTTGTCATTTAACTCGGTTTTGTTTTTTGCAGCCTTGGCAGAATTGCTTTCATGCTCCAGTTGCTACCAGGCTGGCAGTCTGCTAAGGGTCTTATAGGGTAAGGACTGGAAAGCAGTTAGGCATTTAGCCTGCAACAACAGCAAAACAGGGTAAGCAGAAGCTGTTCTATGCCAGTTCACATGCAGAACATGAGAACTTTCATTCACACATAGTAACTTGTTGAAGAAAGTTGTTCTAGCAAGGCAATCCAACAAGCCATCTTCCACAGTAGGGTCAGAAGCCAAGGCAGAGATGTTTTTCTCTCTGATAATCCATTCCAGTGTCTTCAGTGAGCCAGAAATCAACCAGCCCATAGTTTTTCCTGACTATGCAGTGCAGCCAGATAGATCTATCCACAGTACTGGATAGTGCTGGCGCTATCCAGTATTGTGAATAGATCTGGCTGCACTGCATTGTCGGGAAAGACAAGATGGGCATCTCTGTTTTGTTTTGCTGTGGGATTGCTTTCTTGGGGATTGTTTTAGCGCGCCTATCTTGGCAGAGGGCGAAAGCTCTACTGGAAAGGGGGGGGGGAGAAATCATGTCTCTGTTGTAATAGGGTTGTCAACCTCCCAGTGGTGGCTGGAAAACTCCCACTATTACAACTGATATCCAGGTGACAGAGATCAGTTCACCTGGAGAAAATGGCCACTTTGGAAATTGGATTCTATGGCATTGTTGTTGTTCAGTCGCACAGTCGAGTCCGACTCTTCGTGACCCCATGGACCAGATCATGCCAGGCCTTCCTGTCTTCCGCCGTCCTTTGAAGTTTGCTCAATTTCATGTTCGTTGCATCTATGACACTGTCTAACCATCTCATCCTTTGCCGTCCCCATCTTCTTTGACCTTCAATCTTTCCCAGCATCAGGGTCTTCTCCAGTGAGTGCTCCCTTCTCATTTGGTGGCCAAAGTATTTGAGCTTCAGCTTCATTATCTGGCCTTCCAGGGAACAGTCAGGGTTGATTACTGTTAGGATTGACTGATTTGATCTTCTTGCAGTCCAAGGGATTATATCCATTTAAGTCCCTCCCCATCCCCTCGCCCCAAACCCCACTGTCCTCAGGCTCCACCCCCCAAATCTCCAGGTATTTCCCAACCCGGAGCTGGCAACTTTACTGCTGTACCTTAATTTAGGGTGCTAGGTAGGTAGTGGGTTGTGGCTAATAAAAGCATCAGTATAGGAAATATTATAGAATTAAATCTATAAGACAGTGTGTGTGAAAAATTAAAACTCTGAAAGATTCCCTCTCCTCACAGGATGCACAAACTCCTAGAATTAACTCAAAACTATTTAAAATTCATATTCCCTTATTTGATATGCCAGCAGTTGAAAGTTGGAGAATACAGGTGGGTGTTTTTTTAAAGCTAGACAACAAATGCACAATTGTTCCAGTCATAGATTCAACAATTCTGTGGAGATTTTTGAAAACAGTTGCCTGACTTTTAAAAGTTTTATATTTGCTGTTTTTATAGGGTTTTTTACAATTTCATTTATATTGTAAGCCACCGTGAGTTCCACCAGGGAGAAAGGCCACTAAATGTTTTAGATAAATAAAATGGGGGTGATTTATTTACCTCATAAAAATATACAATTCATGTTACTTAGATCTAAAAATATTCTAGTGCCACCAGAGTGGTGCAGTGGACTCTAATCTGGAGAACTGGGTTTGATTCCTGTCCTCCACCTGAAGCCAGCTGGGTCACCTTGGGCCAGTCACAGTTCTCTCAGAGCTCTCTCAGACCCACCCATCTCACAAGGTAGCTGCCGTGGGGAGAGGAAGGGAGGTGACTGTAAGCCACTTTGCTACTCCTTAGGGCAGAGACAAGCGGGGTATAAAAAACAACTTCTTGTGAGATAATCTTGTGGAAGCACTGTTATAATATAGAGAATTAATAATGCAGTTTATAGTTTTTAACATTTTAACGTTCGAGTAGGTCATGTTAATTTTTGACTGATTCGACCGCATCAACTCGCCGCAGAACAAAGCAGAGAACCAACTGAGGCGAATAACGGCTGCATTAACTTGTGCGTGAGGAGAAGCCGTAAGAGGACGTTGGGGAGGGGCCACCTGTCGCCCCCTTAGGAGATTCGAAAGTACAGAAGCAACCGTCTATCAGCGCGCGCAGGTAAGAGTTGACAGCATGGAGTCCAGGAGGTGGAGAATTCGGTGCGCAACGAACTGTACACGTGAACCACGCGACGGCTCGTCTAATAAATTCACGACCAAGGATTGGGGGGGGGGGGCTTACGCCTTTCGTGGCAGATGCGCTTGCGCACTGCTCTCATCCTCGCCTTTCGTCAAGGGCGGAGCCTCTTGACCGTGTGGCCCTTCCCTTTTCTTTTCGCTCCTCCTCCTCGCTTCCCTTCCCAGTCGGTGGGCGGGGCCACGCGGTCAGTTGGCAGGCAGGGCGAGGAAGAGTGAAGGAGGTGTCACGTGACCGCTGTAGGATTCCCAACATGGCGGCGGGGGGAGCGGCGGGTGTCGTGAGCCTCAGGATTTAAAGCAGCGGCCCTTCCCACCGACTTGAGTGATCCCGGGCCGGTTTCGGGCACGTCTCTTTCCCCTGTGGTCTCGTTCATTTCCCCCCTGCTTTGCTCTGCTCCCCCACGACCTGGCCGCCATGAGGGAAAAGGGCCGCAGGAAGAAGGGCAGGACCTGGGCAGAGGCCGCCAGGACGGTACGCCAAGGGCGGAGGGAGGGAGGACTTGAGGGAAAGGGGGAGGTGGCTGCTCGTCTGGATAAACTGGTATTTGTCGTCCCCCCCCCCCTTTTGGGACGTACAAAATCCTTCGCTTTCCTCGAAACTCATTTCCTAGGGCAAGTTTCAGAAGCAGATTGCCCCCTCCTCCAAGGATCTGTCAAAAGTCCCTGGGAAAGCAAATAAGCTTCGTACGGAGCTCGGGGGAGGGGGGAGAGGATGGGGTGCGTTCAAGTAAGGAATAGGCGAAGCGTCGATGGTGGAGGGTCCAGGTTTTTGGTCGTGGTGGTGAAACTAGAGTGCTCACTTTTTAAAAAGTCCTTTTAGCGTGGCTGATCTGCCATGTATGAGAAGTGTGTTTGATCTGCTGGCCGGATTGTGTTTCTGACCACCTGCCTCTCCAATCCCCACTAGCTATGATCTTGTGATAATTTGGGGTGGTTTATAATTTAGGCTTATCTGTAATTGAGGTGGAATTAAGATTTTTTTGGGGGGGTGTTATTCTCTAGCCAAGGGAAGTGATTATTGACATTTCAGTTTTTATATGACTGATCCTTTTGGAACTGTCAGAATTAATGGTCTCTCTTTCTCTCTTGCATGTTGGTGACTGGCACAAGCCTATGTGGGGGGAGGGGGAGCAGCGTAGAGGAGGCTAACTCCTTAAGTGATGGTTTATCTTTCAACTATTAATGAGGAGGTGCTGTCAAATCCCCACCACCACCTTTCTGGAAACTCATGACAATCATAGCACCCTTCTGGATAACATATTAGGCTGTTGCATTGTTTCCCAGGCCACTAGGATAATATCTGAATATTTAAGGTATTCTGAGCTTTTCAGGAGAGTATAATAATGTATTCATTTAATTTAAAGTATAATAATTTGTATTCTGTAGATTTTTTTGTGGAAAGGGCTCCTGGTGACCACAGTATGCAAGGAAAACTGACAAGTGAGATGACAGAATATTCTGAAGAAGTTTTCTCACTACATAATGGAACTGGGAAAGAAAGAATGTCCCTTCTACTAAAAAAGAATGTATAAACAAACAGGACCAATCAGTTTCCTTTAAATTTGTTATAGCTTTCCTCTTAAGAGACCATCTGTACAGTTTTTGACCTTGCATTGTTTTTATATATATCTTCACATTAACCAGGTGCTAAAAATGGTTTTGTTATCCCTTGACTGTGTGAATAGAGATGGATAGGGCATATTATACATTTCTTTGTTCCCACGTTGGTAATATGAGGATTCTTTAGGGTGTATGAAGTAGCTCTTTGTTGGGTGCTCTTGATGACAGTTGTCTCCCTCTCTAGGCTGTCAGGGTGGCAGTTGCTTCTTCGGTCCCTTCTTACCTGTTTCTTTGAGTATTGTGCATGTCAATGGTGGATGATGGCACTACCTATTCAAGCATAAGCTACTGCCTAAACTTATGCATAAAGTAGATTTCTGTGACTTCCTTGCATTAATTTATTAATAGTCTCATCCAGTTAAGCATAATTAAGCCCACTGAAGTTAACAGACTTCAGCGGGTCTGTGAGGGTTGCATCTTTAGTAAGCGGTACTTGAGTAAATGCAAGTTAAGGCTTAACTTGAGTAAATGCAAGTTAAGGGTTGCTAACATTTCTGATGTCTTGTTACTCTAGTAATGTCACTCTAGTAATGAATGGTTACTTGAGAGAACTTCTGATCTTCAGCTGAGGATAGATAAGAAGAAAAAGGTCCCTGGACATGTGGGATAATGGGTGCCTCTCTATGTTTCCCTTTGACATGTGGCATAATGAGATGGAGATTGGGTGTGTGTTTCATCATGGTGCTCAGTTTCTTTATGTTAATACTGCTGAAAACTTGATCTCAGATTACATCATCTGAGCTGAGGACTTTCCGCAGCTGTATAACTTATTGACACTGTAAATGCTGCATAATTCTTCTATGACTCAAATATTCCTTTTTTATAGATTACAAAGACAGTGGACATTAGGATTCTTAGCATTTGAGCTTTTTGGAAGCACAAGTTGTGATCATTTCTCTTGTGCAAAAATGGTCTGTCTGTATTGTCAGCCAGCCCTCATTAGTTTCTCCTTGGGAGCTCAGAAGGAGTTCAGTTTGCTTTCCCTGTTATAAGAATTCTCTTTCAGTCTACAAAATATAAGTGTAGCTTTCAGCAGTATAGGGGCATACTTTCTGATCAAGTATCATGGGAGCGCTTAAACAGACCTATTACTTGCGTATTTGCCTAGGTGAAGTAGTAGCTGTTCTTGGTAAGCACCTGAGTGGCAATTGCTCCTTCCTCAAACAGGCAAGTGTGCACACTCTGTAGAGTATTTCATACATAGGTGCCATAGGACTTTTCTGTACTGCAGTAATGTGGCTGCACATGATAGTGTTCAACCACATTAGTGTCCTGTCTGTCTTAAGAGTGAAGGCATATATGTTTTGGTTTTTTAATATTGTTTAGCAAGCTTCCTCTGCAGTCAAAAGTTTTTTGGCAGTCAAATATTTTAATCTCGTAACAGAATATGTAAAGCAGTGTATACCCTTGATCATTGAAAGTCCTGCCAGAGACGGGCAGAATTTTAAAAGGTCATTTTTGTATTCATTTATATTTTCACAATCTGTACTGTATCTGATGGTCCAAGGGTGGTTTGGCATAGTGGTTACAGGGTAGGACTAGGACATGGGACAACTGGATTCAAATTCCTCACTCAGCCATGGAAACCTGCGTGGGCCTGTCACAATCTCTCACCCTAACATGTACACAAGGTTGTGAGGAGAGGGGAATTATGTGGAAAGCTGCTTTGGGTCCCCGATCAGGAAGAAAATAAAAAATAGCATAACTGTAGAAGCGTGTTTGTAGCTGCAGTTGAGAAGCTTCAGAAGCAATTCTGATCATGTTTTCCGGGTAACTGGAGCTATTTATCAAGAGTTTATTTCACTTTAAAACACTGTGTAGGGTGTTATCCATATTACAATAGAGAGCAGATTGCTAAGATGCATAGTGTTTGTTCTTTTAACAAGTATCACATAAATCACTTCTTCATATTAATCATACGCAAGCAGGGATACCTGGAAGAAATGCAGAAACAGTGAGGCAGAAATAAGACCAGTCTTGTTTAGGTAGGATGTGATTGGACACCTCACTCTGCAGAGTGGGAAAGAAATGGTCAATTATTGTAGATGTTTACTACATGTCTTGGACCCCTCCAGGCAAGACTGCTAGTAATATTGCTTGAATGTCACTGTTTCACTTTCAGGGCAACAGGTCATAAGGGCTGATTAGCTCAAATTGTTAAGTGGGTCCAAGCATCAATGTTTGAATCACCAATTTAGTATCCATCATTGCTTGCTCTACACAGATGAAAAAAAGAAGCAAAAGCAGTTTGTAAATATGTGTTAGAAAATCAGGTCCAGGAAGCCTGCAGATTATTTTTTTCTCCCATAATAGCCAGGGTGCATCTCAGTGCAAATTAGTTCCTGGAACTGACAAGCGTATCTTCCTAGAAGGCTCATTATGGAAGCTTTAATAGATCTGGAGATCTGACTATGCACCTGAGTCATTCTAGAAATCAGTGGCAGGAGAAGAAAATTCAAAGGCAACTGGTTCACTAGGCTGTCAAGACTTATTTGTTGAACATATGATTTTGTTCCTAATGGACCCACATTGAACCACACTTCCAGTAAGGAATAAATATTGGATTTAGATCAGAAAAACTAGGCTTCAATTTTCTGTTGGCCATAAAGATCAGACTAGGTGACCAATCATTGGCCAGTGACTGCTTCACAGCCTAAGCTACCTTTCATCTTATCCTAAATGGGATTTGGGGGGGGGGGACGACAACGACAGACACCATCTTGAGCTCCTTTGAAGATGGGTAGAATGAAAAGGTGTAATGGAGTGGAGGAACCAGTTTAATCCATATTTATTTATTTAAAACATTTATTAGCTGCCTTTCTTCCTTGCAGAACTCAAGGTGGCTTACAGTATACAAGCAGTAAATCTTGTGTTTTAGTTTGCAAAAGTCATTGTTTGAAGATAAATATATACATTTAGAAATCTACAAAAACAGTACGTCACTTATGTATGGTGTTGCTGTTTAGAGAACTATGTTTTGCAGTGTTGAATTGCATGACAGTACATCTAACTGCTTGACAAGCAGAGAGCTGAGTCATGATTTTGCAAGTTTCAGTATTCAGCATATCGATGAAATAGCACTGCATGGCACATCTGTGGGATTACTAGTATGTTTGCAACAAGGGATGCCAGTTGAAAATGTGGTTGCAAAATTGCCCTGAAGAAAGCAATAATAGAGTTTACAGAGCAATCTTTGTATGTTTCGAGTGCTTATAAGTGATCTTCTGTTATATCTCTGTTAGGTGGGTCAGCAGTATCCCAGTTATTGTAAATTGGGGGCTGAGGCTGAGAGTGATGGGTTGCTAAGACCACCTAGTAAGAGCTCATGTCTAAAGAGAAATTTAAACCAAGTGTTTCTGGCTTACCTCTCCTGACCAATATAACCTCTCGAGTCAGAGTGCTTAATGTTCCACTATTAATTCTCTAGCAAATAGAATGAGTGTCAGAATCCCGCAGAGCACAGTGGTTTTGATTTCGGATGATAGAGCACTAGTATGTGGCTATATTAATAAAATATTGGTCTGCTGAACAGCTAAAAATGCTTCCTGTTCTCCACAGGCTGCCATTTGCTAGCCAAGTACAAAAGGGGGGACAACTGTCAATGCCATGATTCTGTAACTGTGCCACACTTTGCTCATGCAGGATTCTGCTTTGAGTGCACCATTCCATGTCCTAAAAGTAGCAGTTTTTTTTCTTGAAGACCAGAAGGCCTGGCGTGATCTGGTCCATGGGGTCGCGAAGAGTCGGACTCCACTGTGCGACTGAACAACAACAGCAACAAATTATTTCTTTGAGAAAGCAGTGGTTTCCTGTTTGCCCATGTTCACAACTTCCTAGCCAATTAAGATAATG